ATGTCTTCAGAGGAAATATCTGACCTTACTGAACAAATTGGTGAGGGTGGAAAGAATATCCATGAGCTAGAGAAGATACGGAAGCAGCTGGAGCAAGAAAAGTCTGAGATACAGACAGCTTTAGAGGAGGCAGAGGTATACTGTATATATAAAACCTTCCTTAAAAATATTTGTGTTTGGTTAAAATACAGAAATAATCTAAACTATTATATATCTACAGGCCTCTCTTGAGCATGAGGAAGGGAAGATTCTGAGAGTCCAGCTCGAACTGAACCAAATCAAAGCTGATTTTGAACGTAAGCTGGCTGAAAAAGATGAAGAGATGGAACAAGTAAAGAGAAACCAACAGCGAATGGTGGATACTCTTCAGAGCTCCCTTGAGTCTGAAACCCGCAGCAGGAATGAAGCGCTTCGATTGAAGAAGAAAATGGAGGGAGACCTCAACGAGATGGAGATCCAGCTGAGCCAAGCCAACCGGCAGGCAGCTGAGGCCCAGAAACAACTCAAGTCTGTTCACTCACATCTAAAGGTCAGAGAACAAGAGAAGAAACTAAATGCTGATGGGATTTTCTATATTTATCCGTAACTGATTTATATTCATATTTTCGTTCACTTTCGCCAATTAATTAAAGGATGCTCAACTTCAACTTGATGACTCTCTCAGAGCCAATGATGATATGAAGGAAAACATTGCCATAGTTGAGAGACGCAACAACCTACTTCAGGCTGAACTGGAGGAACTGAGGGCTGCTCTGGAGCAAACTGAACGGAGCCGTAAACTGGCTGAGCAAGAGCTGCTGGATGTTAGCGAGAGGGTGCAGCTACTGCACTCACAGGTAAAATACAGTCTTCATCTATAATACCCATATATTACTATGGGTGTATAGTTACCATATCATGTTTATCTGCTTTATGTTTTTATAGTATAGGGAGACATTAGGTGAGTCCATATATCCTTACTCTGAATTTAGACATTGTTGCATATGCTGTTTGTTTAGCAGCTTTGCAAAATGTTGCAGCAAGGACCAGTTTGACTACAATTATTTATTGATTAGGCCAATATCAGGAACAGTATGAGTACATAATTCAAATAGACAACTAATTAGAATATTACCCCCCAAACTTGGTCTTCCCTGGTATGAATATATATAACAAGATTTAGAACTGCATGAAAAGTAGCTTAAAATGTGTGTCAGTCTCTTTCTATCAATTTGAAAATATGTATAATTTATTAAAAACAGAATACCAGCCTGATAAACCAGAAGAAGAAGCTGGAAGGTGACACGGTCCAGCTGCAGACTGAAGTGGAGGAGGCTGTTCAGGAATGCAGAAATGCTGAAGAGAAGGCCAAGAAAGCCATCACTGATGCTGCCATGATGGCAGAGGAGCTGAAGAAAGAGCAGGACACCAGCGCTCACCTGGAGCGTATGAAGAAGAACATGGAGCAAACCATCAAAGATCTGCAGCACCGTCTGGATGAGGCGGAGCAGATCGCCATGAAGGGAGGCAAGAAGCAGATTCAGAAGCTGGAGGCCAGGGTGAGCAGACGATGAAACGTCTATCCATAGTATTTGGACAATGTCTTGTAAATCTACGCAATTATGATTCTAATAATTTTTCTTTTGGAATCCTGCAGGTCAGGGAACTTGAAAATGAAGTGGAAAGTGAGCAGAAAAAGGCCAGCGATGCCATAAAAGGAGTGAGAAAGTACGAGAGACGTATCAAGGAACTGACGTACCAGGTAAACATTGATCTACAACACAGCTTTATTTTGTTTTTGCAAAAAATAAAAGCTTATCTAATAATTTTCTTTCTATGTCTTCATTCTTTGTTTTTTGGCTAAAACAAGACTGAAGAGGACCGTAAAAATCTGGCCCGTCTCCAAGATCTAGTAGACAAGCTACAGCTTAAAGTGAAATCCTATAAAAAGTCTGCAGAAGACGCTGTGAGTATTATTCTTTAAAATCGCAGCATTACATAACATACTTATCTGCCATATTAGATACATATGACATGATTGTTCCTGTTTGTTTAACAGGAGGAACAGGCCAACAACAACCTTACCAAGTTCCGTAAGCTCCAACATGAGTTGGATGAGGCTGAGGAAAGAGCTGATATTGCCGAGTCTCAAGTCAACAAGTTACGAGCAAAGAGCCGTGATGTTGGGTCAAAGGTTTGTATATTTATTTCAAATAAGTTTTAAAAGTATATATATATATATATATATATGTATCTTTAGCCAGGTCCAGTGTATGAAGAACAGTTATATATGTTCAGACCAAGACAAATAAAAGTTGCAAAAATTTGGACCTTGATTATTCTTTCTTAAAATGATATATACACCTTTAAATTAAAAATAAACCCATGGTTGATCTAATTTCTTCCAATGTTATATATAGCACATGTGTGTACTATAAGGTGTTATTATGTAATAGTTCATTATTCAAAGGCTAAAAATATATTCTATTAGGCATTGGAGTTCAATCTGACATTTGAAATTCAGGTGTAAGCATATATTTACATACACTGCACAAGTATACATTATTTTTCACAATCTCATATTAAATCAGACAAAATTTGTCAGTTTTGATTACCAAAATTACTTCTACCTCCTATTTGCTAGCATAATATGAGATAACTGGCAAAGAGAAAGATATTTTAAGTTTAGATTGAGAAGATTATCATACCTTGGAAAATCCAACAAGATAATTTCATGGATATGTAAGCTCTTTTTAAATGTTATTTCACAACATCTGACTTAAGTGATGGCCGACTTAAGATTGAATTTACTAAGGCAACAACTATTACCCTTGTATATGATGATAAAATCAATTGGAATGGAGCCCAAATATCAGGAAATGTTTCATCTGGTTAATCTTGTACAGACCTTCAACATAGCTAAAGGTTCTACATCTGTTGTTTAGATAATTCTCTTCAAGTATAACCAATACAGAGGTCCAAGTCCTGTCCGAGAAGGAGACAGGTTCTATGTTGCAGCCATGAACTTGCTTTAAAGTAACTTGACCATATCAACTCCAGAAATGAAATATTGAAGCAAAATCTCAAGACAAGAGCCAAGAAGTTAAAGCTTGGGCTTTAACTGCCCTGCTGTTGAAGGCGTCCAACAATATCTCACCCTAGTCAAACATTTTAAAGGCAATTTTACCAAATATCAAAATTTGGAATGTGAATGAAGTTAAAAAAAATCTCCACAATAATTGTCTTGCTCATTGTTCTTTCATTCAGAGAGAAAAGATTTGTCTCTTTTTATACAGCCTGCTTAAATATTTTGTTTCAAATAAGTAAGTCAAGTAAGTGACCCGTGATGGTTTCTATAGAAATTTGAAACGTTTTGCACTTATTCTTCTTTTTCCTTTTTCTTTTAGAAAGCACATGATGAAGAATGATGCTTCTACAACCAATAACATAGTTCCTGAGGCACCTGTCGCCCATATATATTGGTGTCTCCCTACGCATGCTGTTGTATGAGTAGAATAAATCATATGTGCATCTAAAACAGCCTCTTGACTCTTTATTGTTAAAAGCTTTGTGGTTTAAAAAAAGTGAATAATTTTATCTGGAAAATGTGTAAGCATAATAGAACAGATAAGAATTCTCCCGATTGGATAAACACAATCACAGAACATTAATGTGGCATTAATGTATTGCACAGGAAATAAAACACTACAACTCACTGCAGATACCTAAAATACATTGTTTTTGCAACTATTTGCTCACATTTGACAATTTGTATGATGATAGATTTTGCTTTATAAGTGATGCCATAAGGATACAGTAATGCTTAAATGAATTGAGCATTACATTTAGACATATTTCAATCTGATTATCAAAGTTTTAGATTTCATCTCTAATTGTCCCTTTAAATTACTAAATAAATTAGACAAAAAAAAATCTGTAGATTTATGAACAGCATGAGAATTGTCACTGTAAATGCTATTGGGCTTAAAACCTCCTTACATACTGTAATGGCTTGGTTCTAGACAGGGACCAGTGCTCCTGTCAAACTCGCCCTGGCCCCTGTTATGCTCCCTGTTCTGAAGACATGATACAACATACAGTATTTTCCTTAATATGATATTCAAAGGCATAGAAAATGGTCCCTTGTAGAAATTTCATGTTTTATCTACATATTTACTTTAACAGTATTTCAAAACGGGTGTGGTACTTCCAGGTTCAGTTGTAAGGATATTGGGGTCACAGGTTTGATCTGCTGGATCACAGGTCTGCAACCTGAAGCTGTTGTGATGCAAAGGAGTCTTTATCCTAGTTAAATACATTAAATTATCAAATATGATTTCTTTTGTTTTGTTTCATTCTTTTATTCTGTGGCCCTTGAAAAAAAAAAAAATGGGCCCCACCCTGGTCCCCATTTGGCCAAGATCTGCCCCTGCTTGTGACCAAATCTTTGCATTTTAAGAGGAAAAAGTTTTCTTAAGTGTGTCCGTTGCAAGAGCCACTAATAGGTGAAATTAACAAAAGAGAGATGTGGTGTAAAAAGCAGTTTGAAAAACCATCATTTTTCTACTAAACTAGACAAAACATAAACTTGGACTACACCGGTCTAATTAAACGAAACACATACTTCAAACTTTTGAGTTCAGTTGTCTTCACTGAGAAAACTGATTTAGGTGTGACCACAAAAGGCTACATCTTTTCTTAAAGTTTGGATAAGAAGCCTTAGAATAAAAATTAAAAATTCTGGCTATTTTCAGTTTTAAGATGTTATAGTTTTAGAGACTAAACCTAAAAAGTCTTACTGAAAGAGGACATTTTTTTTTATGGCTTTTGGATTTTCTAACTTTAGAACATGATCATAATAGTATTAGTAATTTTAACTAAGGCATTTAGGATTAACAGACACAGTTTCTCATAAGCATACTATGACATAACACTACAAGTAAATATGAGCAAGAAATTAAAT